CATCGCGCCTAGGACGGGGGGGACGATCCAGGTCACGATCTCGGTCGCGTTCACGATCGCGTTCACGATCACGTTCACGGCGTGATGGCGGGGGCGACAGTCGACCACGGTCAGTCGATAAGAGGTTCTCTGCCATGGTCGACTTGCGATGGTTTCGCTCACGCTCAGCAATCGCCTTTCGCCGGTCTGCCTCGTATGCGTCGGGCTCCGGACTACGGCTGCGCCGGCCACCACGGCCGCCACCGCGATGTGAACGTTCGCCACGAGATCGATCCCTTTCACGCCTCGGGACCTCTCTTTCGATAGAGGGTCGTTCGTGGCGTCGGTAGGCACGGTCGGCCTCATCCTTCTCGCGTAACCTGCGCAGATGTTTTTCAAAGGCACTTCGTCGGAACTCTTCCGAAGTGACGGCTTGGAATTCGTCTGATTTCAGTAGTCTAGGTCGTACCTTTTCATAAGTATCGCTCAGCGCGACTGGCGGCTCCAAACGCTTAATATAGGCACGAAGATCATCAATGGCCCGACGTTGCTGTCGATCCGGTTGTCTCTCATCTTCGCGCTTCGAAGCGCGCTTCTCACGCAGCTGATAAAGGGGAAAGTATGTTAGCATGGACTGAAGATCCACAGAACAGGAGGGGGTTTATATCTTACGCGATTGAAAATAAGTTCGAGCGTGTCACGATCAATGTTAGCCGTACGTTGATCATCTTTCATGATGGACAGAAATTCCTCAAGATCACTAGTTGGGGTGAGTTCAAACCGCTTATCCTATCGAGCAAGTCAGTATGCATCACGTCAAAAGGATAGATAAACCAAAAGAGCCTACTTCGAGGACATCGAGCACATCATTGCGAGGACCGCGAAGCGATCGCTCTTCCTCTTCCACCACATCCCAAAAGAGCTCTTGAGGGCTAGATCCGACCTGACCAACCATGTTGAGGTAGCGCTCGTCGTTTTCAACAAGAGGAATAATCTGACTCCATTTGGTACCAGCATTGATCTTGCCGTCCTTGCGGAGAGAGTCTAGCAGGGATTTAAAAGCATCTCGGGCCTTGCGTTCCTTGCGGAATCTTCGACTCTTCTCCTCTTGTTTAGACTCAATGAAGGCTCGCTCCAAACCTTTCATGTGATTTTGGAAAGCAGTCAATATGTCAAATTGACTAAGGGTTCTATACTTTTCATTGTCTTGGAGGGTCGGGGTTGCAGAGATGATGTCTCTAGCATCCGCCCAGCGAGTGTATGGCTCGAGGTTGAGCTTGGGGAGCAAGTCGATCAGGCCATCCATGGCACTCTTCTTCTGGCTAGCCTGCTGTTCTTTGTGAGCCTTCTTAAGTCCGATGATATACTCCTCAAAGAGCTGCCGGCGCTCGTCCTCATCATTAGTGGAACGGAAAATGGTCTCTCCTTCGATCATGGGTCTAGCCGTCTTCCATCGAGTGTAGTGGGTGATTTCGGGGTGCCGCTTCAGCATCGTCTCGAAGTCACCACGCAACTTGGTCAGCCTCTCTTTGGCACGCTCTTTGTCTTGAAGGATGACGTCCTGGCAGTACTTCTCGAAGGCATCTTTTCTGTCTTTTGGGTCCCTGATGGCACGAAACTGGGGGTCCCGAGCAATGGCGCGGACGGTCTGCTCCCAAGTCCAGTCTGGCTGGACGCCGCTTCGTTTCAGCAGTTTAACAAAAGCTGCCTCGGCCTCTTCGAGAGTGGCGTATTCCGGATCATTCGTGGCGGGGACAAAGGCTTGCTGTGACTTGGAGTCATTTCCATATGTCAACTGGCGAGATTCGGGATAGGGTTCTCGAGCGTCACGGGAATCGCGAGCATCACGGGAATCGCGAGCATCGCGGGAATCGCGTTGATAGTCATGTCCTGTAGCTGGATAACCGCCACCCTGCGTGTATGGAGTAGTCTGGGGAACGGGGTTGCTCGGCCCACCAGTCGAACCTAGAGCCCTTTTGAATGCTTCAGGCATTTCCCAAGAGCTCTGCTGCGTCTCGGTATTGTACCAATACTTGCGACCACCCTCTGCGGTATACTCTTTCCACGGCTGGGACTGCAGGGCGCGCTGTGGGAAAAAAAAGAGGAACGTTAGCATCACAGGGCCTGAGCTGGTACCACCAAGTGGCTTGAACAAGGTATGCTGGAGACATAAAGAAACAACTTGCCTCTGCCGAGCTCATCATCTCCTCCGGCTTGGTCCATTGCGTCACCTTGGTAACATTGTTGTAATAGTAGGCCCGGCCCTCTGGCGTCTTGTGCTCTTGCCAGGCCGAAGCCGGCTGAGGGAAAGGAGGCGCGAAGCCGTTCATCTTGCAGGCGCTGGAGATTGTGCCCTGAAGCGTCGGTAAACAGGGAAATCTCGCGATAATAGTCCCGGGCACGCCTCAATGAGCGCGGGCGACAGCGATGGCGGAGTCGATGCTGGCCTGAAGCTGTTGTCGTACCAAAATTTTGAATCAAGCTTGGGTGCGGCAATGGCGCGAGACACGCATCTTTCCAGTGCGCACGGACCACCTCGGGCAGTTCTTATGCAACTAACCGGGTTCCGCATAACCGGGGCTGCAGCTGGGCCCTGTAGTGGCTTATCAGGGGGGACTGGAGAGAGCGTCAACGCTGGAGCTTAGTGAGCTGGTCATTTCATTATTACTGCCTGCCATTGCCTTACTTATTGTATTATTATATCTTATAATTCATGAGGCGAGAGGAGGATCACCTATTATAATTATATACATGAGACGGTAACGAATCTCCTATTTCTTTTCTTTTTTTCTCGTCATGTCAGGTCGCAATCCTTCCACGCCCGGACAGCTGACTCCTGTTCAACTAACCATATCCACCACCACCACCACCACCAATGCGGCAACCGACCTCATCAACAACTCTTACCTGACATATCTCGTACCGGCTGAGACCAACATTGATTTGGAAAAAGCACTGGGGGGGTTTGATGGATCCAAGACCGTATCTGAATTGATAGAGCAAAGGGACACGTTATTTTTCGGTACGGAACCGGCGACCAGCTCAACCTCACCGCTCATGAAACTAGGTCACTAACATGGACTCACATATAGATGAAACTGTCGATGTCTTGCTTGTTCTCAAGACGCCATGGCTCCCGCGGAAAGAGTTGGACTACCATCTTAGCAGGATAAGTATATCGCTAGAAGCCCAGGTGGCCAATGGCAGTATCCCTGGCCGTGACTCTCCCAACTCTTCTGAGAGCATCTTCAGCGGGAGGCTGAAGGAGACAAAGAAGCCCTTCGTCATCGAGGATAAAAGGGAAGACGGAAGCGATGTAGAGGATGAAGAGGAGGATGAAGAGCCGCGGTATGTGTACGCCATGTGGAAGCTACCCGTGCTCCTCATAAGGCCCCGAATGCGCCTGCACAGTCCGGCCGTCGTCTTCTCGGCCTCCGCGAGCCTCGACCCGGATCTCTGGACCGAACCCGTGGCCCCAGACGTCGGCTATCTTCCAAGCGGGCTGCCTTCTGGCCTCAACCTGCTCGAATCTTTCAGCAACGACTTTGCCCTGAATGGCGTCAAGCCGCGACTGTCGGCGCTGCGAGTGTCGAGAGTGGCCCCCGTCACGCGGCAGCAAGACTTCATGACACGCCTCCGGACACTGCCCCAGCTGAGCATCAAGGTCTTCCCCGTCTTGCATACGAGGATACGCTTCTCTCGCCCTAGCACGATACCCCTGAGCCGGAGCATCGTCGCCCTCCTGGAAATCGACTTCACCTCCCACTTTGAATGCGAGGCTCTCCTGAACAGCATCCGACTTACATCCCCCAACGGCACCGTCGAGAACCTCAATGACGAAGCCGGCCTCAGCCTTCCCCTCAGCTGCGTCTCGCACGACCACATCACGCTCCTCTACCACATCCAGCCCCAGCAAACCGAGACCACCCTCCCCAGGGACACCTCGGGAAGCCTCGAAATCTCCATTGCCGCCTCCGTCCTCGTCATCCCGGGTGTCTGCACCCCCAGCCTCACCATGAGCTGGACCACCGCCCTCGACTTCTCCCTGCCCGTCAACCCCAGCTTCGGCACGGCGTCGGAATCCGGCATCCAGCGCGCCCACCGCCCGACGCAGCTCTCCATCGGCAGCGTGGCCCAGGTCATCACCCACCTCAAATCCCCCTCGGCCATCCGTCCAGACGCCCTGCCCACGCTGGAAGCGTCCACGAACCGCACCGAAGCCTCCATACCCGACCTCGGCATCACAATGTCCTTCACCGCGCCCTCGACCCCGGTCCACCCGGGCGACATCTTCTCCTGGACCGTCTACGTCGTCAACCGCTCCTCCGACAAGGCCAGCAGCCGCCCGCCGCGCAAGCTCGCCCTCGTCGCCGTGCCCAAGCGCCGACGCGCCGAGGTTCGTCCAATCCGCCCCCCGTCCAGCAGCGGCCGACGCCGCGGAGACAAGGAAATCGCAGACGCCGTGCTGGACGAGAACGTGATCCATGCATTGCAGAAGAGCGCCACGCTCGAGACGTCGGAGCTCATCTGCCTCAGTGCCGATACGCGCGTTGGCCCCGTGGCGCCAGGCGCATGCCACGTCGTAGAGCTGCAGTTTCTGGCATTGCAAGAGGGTGTTGTCGGCCTCGAAGCCATCCGGGTCGTCGACTTAGGATCACAAGAGCACGTCGATATTGGAGACTTACCAACCATGATAGTAGAGCCCTTGGCGGCGGCCGCCTGAATTTAGCAACAAAAATCTTTTCCATCTCATGCTCTATCTTGCTACGACCATGCTAATGATGTATACAAAATAATGCCTTCATGGGCATGGCGCCCATGTGTAACGAATACTCGTTTCATGCCAATTGTTCCATTGCCCTTGATAACGCCTTTGCCACACGCCTCGCGCTGTCTTTTCTACTTGAAAACCTAAAAAGAAAACAAGTCATCGACCTTCAGTACAGTAACACCCCAGGGATATAAAAGTATAATGCACATAATCACTATGCTCGCCAGAACGCATAAGAAAATCCCCCATCTCATAAATCATCAAAGTCGTCATCCCATCCAAGTCTCTCAAAAATAGACACACTCTTCTCTTTTGGCTCCTGCGGCTTTGTCTGAGGAGTTGCATATAAATCAAGCCGCTGCTGTGTGCTTTTCTTGATCGGCGTCTCAATCAAGTCGGGAGCTTCATATCCAGTTCTCGCAGGTTTAACCACGCTATCCGTTACAACGAAATCTTCAGGTGCCCGCGTTCTCTGTATGGCGGGGGAGGAAGGAGGATATGCCGGCTGTTCATTTATCGGTCGGCGTAGGAAGCTGGGCTTCGCCGAAGTCTTCGTCGGTGTGTCGCCTATTGCATCCATTACTGGAGATGGGCTGCGCTTATACAGCTCTCTGAGAGTAGGTCGCTTGCCTGTAGATGGAACAAAGGCCGTCACACTAGACGGGGGGATTAATTCATCAAAACTCTCGAATTTTTGACCCTCTGCCTGCTTGGCTGGCATCATGTTCTTGAACCGATTGTTTGCCGGTGTGGCCTTAACTTGAATAGCTGAAGCCGGAGTGCTCCTAGGGGGTGCCCTTTTCAGTTCTGAAACAGTTCGTTAGCACTTTATTCGCGTTGTAAAACCCTCAAGTTGGGGGGGGTTGAATTACTCTTAGTAGCCAAATTGGCCGAGGTTCGACGCTCATCTGCTGCTTCGGCTATTGCTTTGCTTACAACCTCTCGGTTGGGCTTCCTCAGCGCTGAAATGGCCTCCTTAAGCTCAGCATCTACCTCAGCCTTTTTACTAGCTCTAGCATCAAACAGGTTGTTCATGCTGCTGCTTCGCGACAGAGAATGGGCCCTTCTCTGAGAGTCGGGAAGCAATGACATGGGTCCCAACAAATCCAAGCTCTCCCGCTTGACGGTCGGAAGGGTAGTAGAGGTGGCTGATCGCAAAAGAGCAATGGCATTACTGGGGCCCCTCGAGATACTTCTTCGGTTCTGCTGTTCCGTAGAGAGGGCACGCTGCAGCGTCTTGCGGGCGTTCGGTGGCTGAGGCCGCTTGGCTGCAGCACCAGGCCTCTGGTCTCGCAGGCCTGAAGGCTTCTTCATAGCCCTGGACTTTGCCGGGGCTATAATCACAGGACCTCCAAGTTTTCGGTTGATTGAGTCGCAGAGATCAGGCAAGCGTGCAGAAAAGCTATTCGAGCGTCAGCATACACCTATATATCAAGGAGTCGATATCAAATCTTACAAAGGTACAATAACATCGACGCAAAAGTCTCTCAGAGGTTCGGACGATGCCTTCTTTTCTAGGCTGCCATCCAGCGGCGTTTGCAAAGATGGTGCGTCTTCAAGCAGCAGCTGCTCGTCGCTCGCCGTTGATTGCCAGATAGTTAGCCGATCAGCGTGGACATCCAGCAGCACTGGAAGATTGTGCTTGTTTCTCTTCTTCGGCTGAGGGTGCAGGGCATTCTCCAGCAGGTCTCCAGAAATGGCAGCTCCGGGTAGAGTGGGCAGCATAGCCTCGCCGCTTTCACCAGCAGCCTTGAGAGGCTCCAGGGCAAGAATCTCCATGATGAGGATCATTTGCAGCTTAGTCTCCCTGGTTCGTAATATGGAAACATGAGACTTGACTTGTGACGAGGTGATGGCAACCTCATCATTTGGCTCCGGCTTGTTCGCAGCCCACCACCGCATAACGTTTTCGTCCTCCAGCGGATATAGTCCACTCTTGCCAAGCTTCATCTTCTTGGGCTTGCGCTTGCGCTTGCGGCCTTCATCAGAACTCTCAATCCGGTCCTTCAGCTTGGTGATAATCTCAGGAATTGTTTCGCGATACTTTTTGTCGATCTGGACGGTTGTGAGAATGAGGCTCTTCAAGAATTCGATCAGATCAGCCATGTCCAAGTTCGATTCCAAATCCAAGTGGAAAGTCGACCGAGCTCGTGATAGAGGTCCTTTGGCAAAGTAGGCAAGGGATCCCTGCGTCCGTGTGAGCAACCATCAACAGTACTGGACCTCCATACATATATGCGACCTACCATGGATTTGTACAGCGCATCGAAATAATGAGTTCTGATGCTGTCAAAAATATCATCTGCACCCTGAACTATGGGAGCGAGGTTGGTTTGGTCCTCGGATCCCGGCAGCGGAAGCTGCTCCAAGCTCATATCGGGTGATGGTAGCTGCGACAGCAATGATTCGGGTTCCAGTGATTCTTCTTCCTTGGCCAAGATTCCGACAGTCGAGACAGATTGGGATCTCACACGCTTCCTCATTTGAGACTGGATGGCTTCGATGGCAGCCCTCTTCTTCTTCTGTTCGACATGCAGCTGAGGGGTTGTAAGTGCTTCGATATCAGGGCGCTCGACTCGCTCTGTCTTCACGGGAGACAGGCGCTCATATCTGACGGCCGTGGCATTATGCGCCAGGCTTTCCAAGTCTGCCCACGACCCCAGCTTGCAAAGCACGTACAGCCCATTAGACTGTCGCTCCAGGGCGTAGGTCGTGCCCCTCAATTCATTGCGCGCGATGAGCACAATGGGCGCGGGGCCCAGGCGACTTTCGAGATCGAGAATATGGATGTAGGATTCGTAAAATCGAGACTGGGGGAAATCGCCGCTGGAAGCTGCAAAGTCCATATACGCCAGCGGTAGGTGTTCACGGGGCAGAAGCATCAACGGATGCAGCACGCGGGGCGGGATATGCAAATTAGGCGGATGCGGCTATGGAAAGTCAAAGAGCAGTGAGCAAACGCAGCAACGCAAGATTTGGGGGGGACTTGATTCACCTTTACAGCAATTGATGGCTTGAGCAGCTGCTCCATGGTGACGGCCACTCCCGACTTCCTCGCATGGCGGCGCGGCGAAGAAGCTTCATCTTGGCGATTCAAGCTGCCTTCGGAAGTGGGCGTCAAGATGCCGGACCGCGCACGCGACGCGTCGTCAAAGGCGTCGAGGAACGCGGACGAGGACATGGAGAGCTGGCGATCATTCACGATCTGGCATTATCGAAGGAGCAAGCAAGCTGATAAGGGAGCAGAGAAAGGAAATGCAATAAAGAGGCGGCCAGAAACACGCACAAGGGAGCCTCGATCGCTTCTCAGACGCCTTATCCAAGGGATGTTGTTCTGCCCTTTCTTCAATTGGAAGTGGAAGTGGAAGAGGTGGGGCTGCTGCAGAGCGCGTTACGTGCTTGCTCTTCGCTAAACACAGGCTAAGCATAAGGCTGTGACGTCGTTGGACTTACACCTTGATTTTCCTTTCTTTTTTCTTTTTTTCTTCATCTATTTTCTGTACCCATGTAACCTACCTTAAACATGCCCCTGGAAGCTGTACATACCGAACGTACTCGTAAATGTAAATTCACGCCGTCTTTTTTTTTTTAAACTCGTATTTTCTCATGTACAAAGTTGGATGCATACCAACTCTGTTTTAGTACCTTAGTAGTTTAAACACTTGATTTGACGAGATTGTTCAGCCGTTCCTAGTGGCGCAAATCTTTTCATAGGCTGTTCAACCAGACTCAGCTCGTGGTGGCTATCGACTGGGAAGTCATTGATTGGCTGCGTTTCCGATTGACTTTGAGACTGCGGTATCAGCCGACCTGCCGACCCAAGGTCTAGTATCGTCACCTACTTCTAGGTAATGTATCTAGATGGACAGTTCAAGTAGTGGAGTACGACGGTCGATATAGAAAACCTCGTGTATAATTGGCGAATACATCTATAAGTACTACTAACCTACTATACCTGATATCTATAGTACCCAGTAGGTACCTGCCTATTCCAAGTTACAACGCCGAGCTTACATCGATCAGTGAGCGCCAAAGTCCGAAAAGATATCGTATCACATACACACAGGGCAGGAAGCTTGTATTGCATTTGGTATAGACATCATCATAGGGTATTTTGCCATTATTCAACTGCAAAAAGGCCACGTGGTATGCGTAGTTATCTCGTCCTACTCCTAACCACTTCTAACCCTGGGGTATTTCGGTCCCAATCCCACGCCAGAGCGCCAAACACGGACAGCAATGTCCCCAATGGAGGCACCAATCATTCAGGATCCAGTAGTACCGGAGTCGTAACAAAGGAAATTCCAAGTCCCCCGCCATAAAACTGCTTCCATAACTCAAAAGTAGAATCCAAAATGCCGCTCCCCATACAGTACAGTCCAATGCTAATGTATATGCTAACCGCTAGACCAAGCTTTACAAAGGAAAGAATAAACAAAAGGAAATAACAGCCACTGCTGTTTATAGTATACAGAATTGCAGCCACAATTTTCAAAGGAGAGCATACAATGTGGGCGTTTAGCCAGATGTAGAAGAAACTGGGACGAGCTTTGCACATCCAGCTCTGGGTAGCGTTTTGCTTGCTTATCCAAAATCAAAGCATGTTCATAGACGAGGTATAGGGAATGGCAAACTCGGGTGCCGACTCGCCACTGTTTGGTGAAAAGGACCAGTTGTAGTCTGAGTTGTCTGCATAGCCGGAGAAGTAACCAGCACCCACTTGGTAAGGAAACATGGGGGTCGTGGGCTGGCTGGAGCAGGCCTTGATACTGGCATCGTAGTCCGCTGCCGTTCCATGAATTGATACGTCAAGATCGTCGGAAAATGATCTTGCGCCAAAGTTGCCCATTACATAGGAGGTACCATTGTTACCAAACACAAAGTTCTCCAAAAAGGCAGGCGTCGTGGGCGGCGTGCGCAACGTAGGATCTTGAATCAGAGCCGACGACGAGTATTTGGTAGTCAGAGGGAACAGGCCTCCGTTGGCGTTTTGTGCCTCTGTGACGAACGGGGTGTTTGGCGTGGGCGGCGCCGCTGAACCAGGGGCCATTGGTGAGCGGTTTCTTTGGAAAAAGGGGCTGCGTGGTGTGGCAGCAGAGGCAGACGACTTGCGAACTCGTCCTGCTCCTGTAGAAACAACTCGACGCATGGAAGCGACCTGCTCAGAGCGTCTAGCGGTATCAATACCGGTTCTGGGGCCACCCGAGAAGCTTCGAGGGCCGTTGAACGACAGCTGAGGAGTTTGACGGTTACGGCGAGAGGCAATGTCTGCCGGACAGGGGGACTTGAGCTGCCTGCTCGGGCTGCTTGGGATGCCAGTCTGGTCCAAGAAGGCTGTTATCCGCTCAAGATCCATCTCCTGGTACTCGTTGGCATACTCGTCGGATGTGTTTTCGATAGAGAGCATCGTGTTCAGGGCTGACATATTGGCGAAAGACATGTCGGTCGCGGCCGCGGGAGCATATTCATGCACGTTTTTCGAGGGGGACTCAACCTTGACAGCATCATCCTCGGTGTCCGCACGGTGGAAGACGAGAGAAGACGAAGAGCCGAGATGGGGGGTAACAGGCGGTGTTGCCCCATAAGCATCGGTGGAGCTCTCAGATGCTGTCGAGAGCTGAGAAGGGGCATCTGGGGACTGCTCTTTGGCTTGCGAGGCCTGTCGCGGCTCGGGGAAGGGAGCAGAAGAAGCGACTAGGTCACGCTTGCGATCAGGGCCGTGCAGGCCCATCTCTCCGCCCGTCCTTTCTTTTTCGGCCCGTTGTCTAGCCTCGTACTCTCGAATATTGTTCTCCTTCTTTTCTCGTGCCCTCCTGTTTTGAAACCAGTTCTAGCGAACCGTTAGCAAATTTCAATGTAGGTATATATGTACACATATTCGTGTGCATATAATTGTCAATGGGGGGCAGATTCAATTACATTGATTCGTGCATGGTCAACCCTCATGCTCTCGGCCAAGGCCTTCTTTGTGCTGCTGTTGGGCTTGTGGTTTTTCTGGAACTCGGCCTCAAGAACTTCCACCTCCTCCTTTGAAAGTCGCGGCTTTGATTCTGTCGTTCGCGACATCTGCTGGTGGTGAACAAGATGGTTATGCTGTGCCTGGTAGGCCTTCATCGATTCCGCCAGAAATGGATACTCCGGAATCTGCTGGGCATATTGTGTATAGTCGTCAGCGGCGGCGACGGAATAGGTCCAAGCCGGCCACTCCGATTGAGAATGGTGAACCATGGTTCCTGTATGAGGGCCACACGAGGCGTGGTAAATTTGATTACGCTTATGCCCCAGCTCGAGACTTGCGTAAGCTAGTTACCGCCAAAGTTGGTTATGCGTTGTGAATGTAGCAGGACGCCGAGGTGTAGACTCAGACTGGAATCGAGGAATGGCAAGCAATGGTCGTTTGGTTTATATAAATGTAGATGTTGCCGGCGGCGAGGGGTGGATGAGGAAGATCCTCGGGAGTGAAATGGTATCAATTGCGCTGACGACGACGAAGAGGAGAATGAAGAGGAAGGAGGAGAAGGGGTTATTGAGACAAGGGCTGTTCCTGAACGTTGTTTCCAGGTTACTCTGTTCGGCCTTGTCAAGGGGATTCGTCGTTGTTGGAGCAAGCGGGCAGAAACATTGAGGGACAAGATCCGGGAACAGATTCGGAGGGGCGGAGGTAGATACAAGTACTCGCTAGAGGCAGAGGCCCTTGATACGCATCTCTAAAGTCGGTAGTGGTGTTGTCGACCCGCCCGCGCATCTGTGGCGGACTTGGTGTCTCCATGGGCTGCTCCGTACTCGGTACGGTACTGTACTGCGAGTGAGGGCATCACCCCGGTCAGAGGCCAGGGGGCAAGGATCAGGGCACAGCACCGATACCCCTGGCACCGAGCCCTGCCACTCCAGGGCAGCAGCAAGCAGCGACGGGGGGTGCATCAGAGCATCAGCTGCGCGTTGGGTGGGCCGGGACTCGCGCTGTGCATACTTTGGCGCCCAGAGCGCTCGCAGCCTCTGAGGCTAGAGGCTTCGAGGCTAGAGCCACAGCCCAGAGCCATCCAGAGGTCCGGGTCCAGAACCCAGGACAGAGCCCAGCTGGGCATGGCTAGCGTAGCGTGTCGCTGTGCGTTCCGACGACCGCCAAAATGGCTGCACAAGTTGCCCGTGGATGCAGAGGCTCGCAGCCGCCACCACGCCAACGTGTGTCGTCGTGTCCGATGCAAGTCTGCGAGTCGCTCTCGGTCTGTGCGGTGGGACTGGGGAAGAAACCGACGGAGGTACAGCACTGGCAGAGCAGGGCTCCGGGGGGCGTGCGCGAGCATCTGGCCATGAGATTTGATGAGCTTGAGCTCGAGTTCAAGCAAAGCGGACGTGCGCTTGCATGGCGAGTTCTGGCCTGGTGGGATCGCGGCGGGATGCCGCGTGCCTTTCGCGGTAGCCAAGGAAGACGACGAGGGTGTAAACGCGGTCCGTGATGACATGACAATCTCACCGTGCAAAACCCTTCGAGGCTAGGGAGGACGACAAAACGGGCCTCTAATTACCTAGTTGGCGCTCGTACTTGGAGATAGGAGATGCCACAGGGAATCACCTTAATGCTGGCGCCGGAATGCATAAGCAGTTATCGGTACTCATACAGGGACGGAAATGCGCTTTTGAGTCGCGTTTGCAAGCAGTACTTGGCCCATGTCTGTTCTTTGCAGTACCGTTCAGGTACCAAATATCCAATGCATGTCCAACATGCCGCCATCATGAAAGCTTCAGCGGAAGCTTCCCCATCAAGCATCCCACAGCGGACGGGCGGAGGTGCGTAGGTTTTGCCCATTGGAACATGCGACGGTGTGCCCACACTGAGATTCTGGGCCTTCAAGCCCAAACTCTGGTGCCAAACTGGTGTCAGATCCACCAGCACAGCCAGTTTCCCACCATATCCCCTTAAAGGCTCCCAAGCACAGCAGCTTGCGTGCTGTGGTGCAGCAGGCCTTGTCCTTGTCCATCCTGGCTGTCGGTAGGTTCCAGGGCATCGCTTGCTGTAATTGGACACCGCAGGCGGCTGGCTGCCCAGCGTTTGCCCCTAAGACGCAAATGGACAGGACGGATGGGATGAACCACCCATCAGGTCGGCGAACTAGGCTGGAGATGGCGCTGCAACTGGTACGAATCCTGTGCTGCTGGTGCTGATGAGAGAATTTGTATTCTCCACGTTGTGCAAAGATGAAGTTGAACATGGAAGTCCTATCACAGCAGCCGGGACACAGGCTCGGCACTCTGCAGCCAAGCAGACTGCTCCTTCCTGGTGCAGCTCCTGCCTACCCTGGTTCTTTCCAACATAACTTGATCTGCCATGAGGGCAACTACCAACCCAGTACCGAAGATACGGAAGGTACTACGAACGAAGGAAAATAATAAATCCCTCTTCGGTGTATCATTATCCGGCTATCAGTCGCTTTGGTCCTAACTTCATCTTCCATGTCCATCCTCGTGTTGATCTCATTCGCCTCAAGCAACAGAACAGCCCGCCGTGGATTTTGCGTTGCTCATTTCAAGCTAATTTTGCCCACCAAGAGGCCGGCTGGGTTTGGCCCGTAGCACCCGGACGCACCTGGTTGGCCCATCTGGACTACATGCCTTTTGTTCTTTTCCTCATCTTCCCTTTTTGCCCGCTATTCTGCCCACCACTTTTGCCCACTCCCCCGGGTTGTGCGTTCTTGCGAAGCTCGGCAAAACGAGGCAGTACGAGTACTGTCAAGTAGGCATCCTGGGCATGTCAATCCCGAGCCAAGCTTGCCACGCGCCAGAGAAGCGCCGGTGACTGGACTTTGCTACATACTCGTACGACAGCGCTACACCCCCTGCCACTTTGACTTTAGCCACCAAGATGCAGAGCCTAAAAGAGCTGGGCGGATGGTGGCTACATACACAGCCAACGCTCTGATGTTTCGGGATACAGAAGAGAAGAGGCCAAGGAGCGGCTGGAGTACTCGTAGGTATCGAATCGCCCTAACCATCCCGAGCTGAAATATCGTGTTCAACTACTGAGCCGTCTTTTCCCTGCTAATGGGGTTTTCAGGCTAGATGACGGCATTTGGTGTTACTACAGTTGCACAGAAAGTCAGCCTCGCCTCCCATGCCCGAGTACACTCGTTGCTTGAGCTCTCACGATGCCCTCCGATTAGAGTGGACACACACCATGATGCGGAATTTTCACCTCGTGGCACATCCACGCTCCCTATCTCGGCCACCCACCACTCCTCTCTGGCAGCCATCACCCTTCCCCAAAGAGGTTGGATCGGGCTCTCGGAGCCACCAACCCCACCGTTCCGAGCCTCCGTCCGTCGCGGAGCTTTGCCTGTTTCGGGACCATCACACACCTCAGCAGCAGCCTGTCAGTCTTCCATCCTTGCAGGTTCTACTCCGTACCCCAGTCGCAGACTCAGGCGAGCCAGCCTAAACCCAAGCTGGGCGCTGTGGCTTTCATCAACCCATTTCGCTTATTTCGGCGCGTTGATTTGCCATGTTGATTCGTTGTCTGGTCCAGCTTCACAACCACATTATGTCTCGGAACTGCGAAGTACAGGTAAGCAGCATCTGTGCTGTGGTAGAGCGCTTAGCTCCATTCATTTTCCCTTTTCATCTCACCAGAGATGAGATGGTTCCCTTTTAGCTGTCAACTTGGCCTCATCTACCCACCATATACCCGTGCAAGTATAGGAAAACGCCAGATGATGGAAGACGCCACGAAGCCTAGCGCCCCGGCATTCAAATTCCATTTCGGTCCCGTCGGTGTCAAATCTCACCAGTTCACGCATAGTTGAAGACTGTGGTGCCTGATTCAATTAACGTCTCGGCGTGCGAATTCGCCTCATTGCCATGACATTGTCTCTCTTATGGGACATCTTCAAGCGTAGGCATCTTTTTGGCAAACATCACTTCGCTCAATTGTCCATACAGGCATTGACAAGGATTGTGACAAAGCAGAACGACCCCACGGGATATGGTTAAGCGACAACTTCACCGTCATCTACCATTGACAAATTGCTGGTACGAGTCAACAGGCACTCGTACCACACTAATTCTCCGCATTGTCCTACGGCATCCTCATTGGCGGTGTGTCCAACACCAGAATCAGCTAACTCGGAATAGCAAGCTCCTTTTTTCGTTTCCCTCAACTTTGGCGTTTTCAGCTGAGGAAAAACAGCCCGTCACCTACAATGAAGCGCCATCTCTAACTGTATCCAATCTAGTGGCCGACTGTGGTTTTGCTCTCGGTACGCCCAGGCTCCATCAGAGCTTAGATGATGCGCATCAAATCGCTTGCACAACGTGACGCGGCGCTCAGACCAGGTGCAAGAAGAGTCTGGCTCTGCAACCCCTACCACCCCGATTCAGCTCAGGATCTCTAGCATCCGTGTCCCGGTACGAAAGAGTTCCACGGAGCAGAGCTCCGGACGACGTGTCTCACTCACGTGCAATCCTTTCCGAGTTTTGTTTCGGCGCTGGCTTACATCCGAGCCCACCTCCAAATATTTTGAACGCAGTGCTTCCCGACATCATATGCATGTCTCATTTTCAGTTCAGTAGACGGTAGGGCCATGCACGATCAGCATCCTAGTGCTCGGGGCTGAATTCCATGTCACACTCAAGTAGAAGGTACTGTTTTTTATGAATGACCTTCACAGATAACATTGTATAGTTTCGGGAGCGATCACATCAAGGCTGCGCAAAAGTCTCACAAATAGTGGACCCGCTGAATGAACGTGCAGCACACAGTTGCTGCTCCTTATCTTACAAGTTCTCCAACATTGCCAAGTTCGCAGGTTACTCTGGATCGGCAAAGCAAGCTAATTTGGTCGGGGGGGGTTCCCTCCAGGCGGCCTCCAGGCGGCTTCCTCTTAGACAAAGTGATTCACTATACTTGCCTGGTCGAAATGGAAGAAAAAAAATACTTGGTTCCAAGTGTGGCCCATCATCAGAGTGAGACAGAATGAGAGCCATCAGCCTTACAAGCTCACTGGTCCCGAGTGCTTGGAAGTGATGGGGCGCTAATCGCTGCGTCTCCTCTGCCGCTGTTACACTGGGAGCCGAACATAGGCAGGGAGAAAGGGCTTAAAAAAGAAAACATGGCGCGGCAGCGGCGGCGGTGCCGAACAGAGCGGTCTCGACCCAGAGATCTGGATGCGTTCTTTGCTCTGGTCAAGAAGGGTAACTGGAGTGCCGATCAGCCAAGCCTGGGTGATGCAGTTGGGTAGCCGAACATCTCTATCTACACTCCCCTAGGTTGCGGCAGCAGTCAGTGTGTTGAATGAGACATCCTGCAAGAGAACTGTCCCTTTTTTTCCAGGTCGCCTCGTTCGTCTTTTTTCGTACGGCTAATTTGCTGCAGCGGCTGCAGTCTGCGCAAAGGATGCCGAAGAAGCACAGCACTACGTGTGCTATTAGCGTCTACCGCAAAAGATCAGGCCACGAGTTCAGCCGCCGCCTTAGACAGCAGCCCGAGTTCATAGTGGCGGGCCTCCGGTGAGGGTTGGCGTCTAATGGCACCTCAGGAGAAGAACTGATTCCAGGGGATGAGATATCTACTCATACGATTATCGACATTGTGAATACCAAAGGAAAATGAACCGGGAACTACCTGGTATTAGAGGATTGTGGAGGTACGAGATTCATACACCTCATTGATAAAACGCTGCGGTTACAAAATAATTTGTACTGAGGAAGAACCAAACCCGTCGACTCCCGGTCGGGATGTGGGGGAGTCATTCTGAGAAGCTCGGGTTGTCGGGGCGCCTCATCTCATCAGAAAAAAAATTCGCAACTACTAGCAGTAACTGAGGCAGGGTATGTTCCTGTGTCGCAGCCTAACTCTTAGCTACAACTGTGCCCCATTTCGCCTTCCAACTCATTGCTTTTGATGAGGCCAGGCCCAGCGCTCTGGAACGCTGGTCTATATTGGAAGCTAGCTGCAGCTTTCATATGTCATGTACAAGCATGGAGTGGTACAAGCTAAGTGCTTGGTACCTGGCATGCTAAGTTCAGAGACAGGCCTCGACCGTGGGTGGTTGTTTGTACGCCCGCGCGGCTACAGAGCACCGGAGATCTCCGTACTAAGGCTTTTGTTAATACCCCCTTGCAGAGCGCTTGTTTCCACTAAGAAGAAAGAAAGAAAGAAAGAAGGAAAGAAAAAAGAAGAAAAGGGAAAAAAGAGGAGAGAAGGGGGAGAGAAAAAGACGGGTGAGATGACAACGATATGAACACTCCATGGTTAACATGTTCTAGCGAAGCACGGGTTTACTATTACTTTACCGGTCCTGGCACAAACTTAGCTCACATCCAATTGGATGTAGATCACAGTCACTTCTCGTCTTGCTATCAGATCAAGCACGACAAGATTGATTTGAAAGAAGGCTGGCCCATGGGTTGTTCGTTTTCTGCTCTGCCCAGATGGTGTGCACCCACCCCAATGGCGGCGCCTGAGGTCCTG